CTGCTCAGGTCATAATCCCAGCATCCTGGGATCAAGCCCCACGGTTCTCCCTCTCCTTCTGCCCACCGCTCTGACTTCTTGTGCTGTCAAATAAATAAAATCTTAAAAAAAAATACTAACAATATGTTATAGCCAGTCATGTGATCTGAGATAAATCTTGAGGGATGAGTAAGATTTTCATCTTTCAAAAAAGAAGATAGACCAGGAAGCAGTTCCAACACTCAAAGTGGATAAGAGGTCATCAGCAGAAAAAAAAAAAATACAATTTACTGTGTGTTTACTACATGCCAGATTCCATTTACACGCATCCCCACATTTCAGAGGAAACTGAGGCTGAGGTTACATACTTTATTTACCCAAGGCACTAGACGTGGACTAGCATGTAGGTCTCTTTCAATTCACAGCATGATTAAATAACAGTGTATGTATTAGAGTCAGAACTATTTAGGTAAGAATGGAATACAAGACCAAGAATACCATTTTCAAGAGTTGGGCTTCCTTGTAAAGGCAATGGAGGATCCAGCAACTGAAAGTTTGGGAGTACAAAAACAACATATTAAAACATGGCTCAGATACAGGAAATTGGAGGAATTAGTCTAGAGAGTTTATAACAAAGCCTAGCAGTGGCAAATACAAGGGAAAGACCAGCTGTGAGAGATTCTTCTGACCCTACTTCTCCTCCCCTGGCGTTATTTCTTCCTTAACTGTGTAGCCACAAAACAGGTACAATCAATTTGCATTCTGTTCATACAGTAAAATTTTGTTACTGAACAACAGTAGTTAATAACATAAATAACAACAATTAATTTAATAGTCTGGTCAACTGAGAGGTAATAAACTAAAAATTAATATAAATGGATTACCTTTTCACACAAGAAATAAATTATTTGCATAAGACACATTTTGATGATGGGACTGACAAGATTCAGAAACAGACTGTAAGGTAGAGAGCTCAAGGAGAAAATTAAAATAAAGCTGCAGTTAACCTAGATGACGGCACGCCTGGGTGGCTCAGTCTTTAAGCATCTACCTTCAGCTCAGGTCATGATCCCAGGGTCCTGGGATCGATCTCCACGGACTCCGCTCAGCAGAGAGCCTGCTTCTCCCTCTCCCACTCCCCCTGCTTGTGTTCCCTCTCTTGCTGTCTCTCTGTCAAATAAATAAAATCTTAAAAAAAAAAACAAAAACAGGGTGCCTGGGTGGCTCAGTTGGTTAAGCGACTGCCTTCGGCTCAGGTCATGATCCCGGAGTCCTGGGATCGAGTCCCGCATCGGGCTCCCTGCTCAGCAAGGAGCCTGCTTCTCCCTCTGACCCTCCCCCCCTCATGTACTCTCTCTCTCTCATTCTCGCTCTCTCAAATAAATAAATCTTTAAAAAAAACAAACAAACAAAAAAAACAAAAAAACCTGGATGACTAGAATAATGGAAATAGAGAAATAAAGAGAAAAATGAGCAGGAAGAGATAGATTTCTGCCCCACTTTGTGTAGGGGGAAGGGGGGGGTTTATGAATTTACTTTTAGGAAGGTTCCATTTGAACACATCTCATTAACTGTCTCCTGTGAAAAGGACCAGCCAATAAAAATGTGTGACCAGTGCTCAAAAGAGAAGTCAGGACTCAGCTATGTACTTGAGACACATTCACCAAGACATAAAAGATAAAGGTATGGAAATGGATCACTCTTATCACCAGGGAAAGGTAGGAGGGGTTATAGGGAAAAAAAACAAAAAGATCCTTTCCAACCAATAACTTCTTTAAGTGTCTTCCTTCTAGAGCTTCGGAGTGACTTCCCTCTGTAAGAAGGGGTATGAAATGGAATAATGCTTCTGCTTTCGGCCTTATACCACAATTTCATACAATTTCAAATTCACAGAATTGCTTTACTGTACAATGCAGCTGACCCCAGGAACGGAAAACATAAACTGTTTTTGGCCTAGAGTTTCTAAACTATGTAAAAATATCTGTGGGACTGCTACAACAAATGAGTAACTTTAAAGAACTTCACTGTTTCTTCAGATAATATTATTTCCTATTAACCTAGTGGCCAAAGGTTATTAAATTTCATAGTGGTGGGGCGCCTGGGTGGCTCAGTCGTTAAGCGTCTGCCTTCGGCTCAGGTCATGATCTCAGGGTCCTGGGATCGAGCCCCGCATCAGACTCCCTGCTCTGTGGGAAGCCTGCTTCTCCCTCTCCTACTCCCCCTGCCTGGGTTCTCTCTCTCACTGTGTCTCACTCTGTCAAATAAATAAATAAAATCTTTAAAAAATAAAAAAATAAAAAATAAATAAATTTCATAGTGGTACCCTCACAAAGCATGCAAAGATGTTACTCTAGATTAATTTCTAAAATGCTTCCTACCTTAGAGCATATATGAAACTATACCAGTAGCGTAAAATTTTTAAATGTGTTAAACAATAATAAACTTTGTTCCAAAATTATCAAACACAAATTAAATTTAGAGCCCAACACTATTTAATGTTAGGTATTTACAATTTTTATTAAAAACAAAAAGAACTGTTTCTCCTTTTTCAATATAAGCTAACAACAAATTAAAAAACAAAGATAAACCCAGAAAAGGGTCATATTATCAACTATTAAAGGAGCATAATGTCACAAGAGCACCAACTTTGGATTCAGACAAACAGGATTAAATACCATCTCTGCCACTTCTTACCTAGGTGTCCTTAGGTGAATCACTTAAAGCTTCTGAAACCTTATTTCACTTATCTGTGAAACTGTAATAATAAAACCCACCTCAAACTTACAACATATTAACGAATGTATCCTCTGAGCCACCCAGATACAAAGTATGGGTACTATGTAAGTTAACAGCTTCACTTCTTCAGCTCTTCAACCAATAATGGAAATTCCAACAGCTTAAAAGTATTAAAAGCTTATTTTTGAAAATTACAAACAAAGGGGCAGGAAAAGTAACATCATTTAAGTATTAGTTTAAAAAATACCACCTTTTAAAATTCTATTTCTATTTCTGATTCTATTCCCAACCTACTCCCAAATTTATTAAAAGAAATTTCAGATAACTAAAGAGGCAAGACTGTTAGAATTTCACTTCCCCAGTTACTTGAATTTAACCCAGAAGTTTAGTCAGTCTTCTTAAATTACTAAATATGGCAATGAAATACATATGAAAATATCTACAGAATTGTCTTACAAAACTCGAAATAAAAACAGAAACACCAAATTCCTTCAAATTTGAATTTTCAACCGGTAAGACTGGAGAATAAGACACCCTCCCCCTCCCCCTTTACAGAGTTTAGTGCCCTGAGAATGCCAGATAATGAGAAATCTTGTCATCTCATTTTGAAAAAAAATTAGCTATTTTAGGCCTTTACAACACAGGGTAGGACTATATTAACTCTCATACTGAGTACTCTCTCTTCAGCCAGATTCTAGCCACTTAGAGTACTAATCACTACTTAAGAAAAGGTAGACTAAAATAAAAACATGACAATCCCTTTAAAAACTTTTTAGCACTAGTTTTAAACGTGTGTGCACGCGACTGAGTACATTTTCCGTTACCAACTCACGGTTATTTACCAATGTAACACATGTGAACACTACACAGCAACTGTTGTATATACAGGGATCTGCCTACTAGGTCTGTGAATTATGGAGAATCTTGTAGTTCTCCCCATCTTGTTATTTTATTATCACTTTCACCAAAGAGCACAGAGAAAAAAAAGGATTTCCAAAATTGAAGATGAGGCCGACTTCGACACATTCATATCGGGAAAGCAATAAAACATTACATTTCAGTGCAAGTTTATATCACATCACAGGATATAAAAACACTTGGAGCAGAAAGTTCCCATTGAAAATATCCTTAGGCTTACATCAGGATTTCTTAAACACCATAAGGTGTGTTTCATACATGAATGTACTGCTTTGGAACTTAAAAAAAAAAATGAATGCTGTGAAATTAAGAATGGACACTTCGAAAACTGTAACCATCTTATTCCCAGATTATATGTCAGTCACTTCTGAGTTTGTGAAACGTCAGAGTGCTTCCCGGAAAATACTTAAATTAGTAGGGTCCCCCCCTTCCCATGGGAATGGGCCCTCACAGTAGCCAAGAGGAGAGTAAGAGAACTAGTTCTATGATCAGATTTATTTTAAATGCCTGATAATTTAAGTCGTTCATCTGGTTTCAATGCTGTTATAGCATCTAAGATACAGCAAAAAGAGTTGCACAATCTCCCCTCTTCAGAAGTCCTAGCAGGACCGTGGAGCGCCACCAAATCGGCCCCCATAGGGGCTAGTGCCAACCCTGGCCGAAAACAACTATGGGGAGGGGGTCGTTTTATGAGCAACTCCGCTGCCTCGCAGGGAACACGGGAGCTGCAAAGCCTACAGCTAAAGCCCAAAAAAGAAAGAAAGAAAAAAAAAAGGAGAGGGGGAGGGAGGGAGAGAGACTTCCACCGCGAAAGGAAAAAAGCGTAGAGAACCAGAAAAGGAAGCATTTCGTTTCTGTGAGGAGGGAGTAAAAGGGAGAAGTGAAGGTCTGCTTCCTAAGCGATTTTTTCCCCTTACCCCTCACCCCGGCTGCAGTCTCCGGCCAGGCCATCAGGCTGAGCACCGCCCTTGGGCCGCTCCCAGGCCGGGACCGGACCCCTGTGCAGTCCCCAGACCCCGCGCAAGGCCCTGCGGCCCAGGCGGAACGAGAGGGTCCCTAGCGGCCGCCGCCCTCCGCGCCCCGCGCCCCCGCCCGCCGCGCCAGGCGCCGCCGCCCGGCTCCCACTTCCTATTTTCAGAGCACACACCCTACAAGGAGCGGAGCGAGCAGGCCTGGCAGAGACCTGCCCCCGCGCGGGGCCTCGGGTGACTGACAGGGGCAGGCACTAGGGCGCAGCGAGGAGAGAAGGAGGAAGGGCAGCCGAGGGCACAGACCAATGCCCTTCCCCGGCGGCCATACTCCGGGCTGATACGCCGGGGCTCTACTGGCTCCCCCACGACGGACTCCGCCGCCTCCGCAGCTCTTACCTTCTCCTCATCAGACAACTGCTCCTCCAGATCCGCCATTTTCCTTCTGGCGACAAACCGCGGTGGCGGCGGCGGCGGCAGCGGCCACCTGACTTCCCCCTTTCCGTGCGGTCCTCCGCGCCGCGCGCCCCCGCCAAAGGAGGGGCCCGCAGCCCAGGCCGCCGCGCACGCGCCCCGGGAGCCCCGCCTTCCTCTAATCGGCCCGTGGGGTCGGCACGCGGCTGTGCGCGTGCGCGGGAGGCTGGACGGCTTGGGAGGGGGGAGGAGTCACCTACCCCGCCTGCTGCAGGCTTGTCAGCATCCCTTAGTATAGGATTCTTTCTCCACAAGTGACCATATGGACCCAGTCTGCGACGAGTACATTCTGAGCCCTTGATTATGTTCCCATCAAGCCCTCAACTCTGCCAGCTAAAACGTGAAAAAGCGTACGAATAGAAGCTTTTTAAACAATCTGTTTTTTTTACATTACTAGAAAAATATTCAGTTTTTATTAAAATATGTACACACAACCCAGCCCATAATTGGAAGATTGCTCTTGAAATATTCATGCATTTATTTAAGAAATATTTATTGGTCCTTTATTGTGTGCCGGGTACTACGTTAGTCCCTGGGAATATACAACCATAAGTAAAAACCAGAGAAACCCCTGTTCTCAAGAGGCTCACTGTCTATTCCTTAAACAAACATTGAGCAGTTGGGGAAGGCACTGTACTATTGTAGGGGAATCCGAAGTTATGTTAGACATAGATCCTGCTCTTCTGAATTTAATTGCTAGATTAAATACAGAGAGCCCAGTAAAATTTGAATTTCAGATAAACAATGGATATATATTTCACATATAAGCATGTCCCATGAAGCATTTGAGATATACTAAAAAAGTGTTCATTGTTTTCAAATTGTATTGGAATCCATTACTTTTATTTGCAAAATCTGGGAAGCTTACTTGTGACACTTCAAGTTTAGCAAGAGAGTGAAGATGTAGTAAAAGCTGGATATATGAATTGTCTAGGAATTTTGTTAAAATGCAGTTAGTGATTCAGTAGGTCTGCCATGGGGCTGGAGAATCTGCATTTCTAGCAAGCTCCCAGGTGATGCCAATGCTATAGGTTTGGGATCACACTTTTTAGCAAGGCCTTAGAATTTAGATAGGACTTAAGACTTTAATCATTATGTTGTACACCTAAAACTAAATCAATGTTATATGTCAACTATATCTCAATTTTAAAAATATTTTTTAAAACTTCGGGGCGCCTGGGTGGCTCAATTGGTTAAGCGACTGCCTTCGGCTCAGGTCATGATCCTGGAGTCCCGGGATCGGGTCCCACATCGGGCTCCCTGCTCAGCAGGGAGTCTGCTTCTCCCTCTGACCCTCTTCCCTCTCGTGCTCTCTATCTCTCATTCTCTCTCTCTCAAATAAATAAATAAAATCTTAAAAAAAAAAAAAACTTCATTCAGTAGAAAATGAGAAACTGTTGACGTTTGAACAGTGACATGACATCAGAAACATGTCTAGCAAGATGAATCTGACAGCTGCAGGTAAATGACACATGTGAAAGTACCTTCCCCAGTTCAAGTCACTCTCTCTATATAAAACACTGTTATTAAGTAATTTACTGAATGTTCATAGTGTGCTAATCCTTGTTTCTTGAAGATGGAAAGCAAACAGAAACCATGCTATTGAAAAGCTCATAGTCCATTCTGAGAGAGAACAGGAAGGGGATGCTTGCTGATACATGCAGGAAAAAGCAGGTGTCCTGTTGAGCATAAGTGCTACAGAAAAGATATGATAGAGATTAAGCCACACGGTTTGGCCAGGGACCTCACCAGATATAAATAAATATGTTCACTCTTTTATAGTTTACACGTCGTTGCTTCATTGATTTCTCATTGCAACCTCATGAAGTAAGGTATTTATCAGCATTATTATACCCATGTTACAGGAGAACAAACTGAGGCTAAATATTTGTTCAAGTTTGCACTCAAGTGACTAAATTGATATTAGAACCCCCCAGGCATCCTACTCTATATCCTGCGAGGTTTCCACTTTGAGATCTTTCTCCCGCTCTAAGGTCTAGGCACGCTCCATCGGTAAAACTTACTGAAGGTGATTACTCTCCCATCCTATCAGTTTTAGTCACCACCACTTGCTGCATCAACTCTACTTCCGGTTTGTTTTTCCCTTCGTCTGTTTTTTGGTTTCTGTTTACCTAGCAACACCTAATATTAATGTGTACACAGTGGGTTCTCAGTACATGCTCTTGTTTGACTAATAGGCTGCTCTCTTCCTCTAGAAACCTCACCCAAATTTGGTAATGCTTTGCAATGATTTGTAACCTTGGTGATACTTTATATGTGGCTCCTCATAGTGACACAACCAGCAGTTATATATAATTTCAGATAATTCTTTCAAAAGTCTCCCAATACCATCCTCTTGATACAGTTAAAAGAAATTATAGAATTCATGTACCCTAGGAATTCTGGGAAGATTTTAAGCTGTCACACAAAATAGATATAAATATGGAATAACCATTATATGACTACCAGTAGAAATATACTAGTATTCTTTTTTTTTTTTTTTTAAAGATTTTATCTATTTATTTGACAGAAAGAGAGAGCATGAGCAGGATCCTGGGATCATGACCTGAACTAAAGGCAGACGTTTGACTGAGCCACCCAGGTGCCCCAAAATATGCTAGTTTTCTTGACAATCAGTTATTTTATGATGAAGAGAAAAGAAAATATTCTTTCCCCACGCAATTCTACCTACTAAGTGAGAATTTCTATCTTTTCTCATTTAATTTCTAAACTCACCTTTCTTCTATTTATTAGTGGTAATCTTTGCCTTCCAAATTAACTGAACCAGAACCTGATTTTTTTTTAAATTCTTCCTTTTATAGTATTTGTTGTTACGTTACTTGTATGCTTCTTAATCTATTTTCCTGTGGATGTGCTCTATGTCCTGAACTAATTTTAAGCTTATCAAGATCAGAAATTACCTAATTTCATAGAACCAAAATCTTAGAATACATCTAGTGCAAGCCTCTCATTTTACAGGTAAGTTGAGCCTTAGATAAATTACATGACTTGATAAAAATTGCACATCTAGCTGATATTTTAGAACCCAAGTGTCCTGATAGACTCATGTTCCTTTCTTGATACTATTATATACACACATTATATATACATACATGTATAAGATATATATAAATATAGCTTGATCATGTAATGTGTAATAAGATGATAAATATTACTGACTGAGTGCTAAATGGTTGCACAGGATATCGACGTCTATAACACCACATTATTTAATCTCTGTGCTGGAAAACTAGTATCTGTAGTTTAAAAGTGTGGCTTACCTCATTTCTGAGAGAAAAACTACCAGTGCTGGGGCGCCTGGGTGGCTCAGTCGTTAAGCATTTGCCTTCGGCTCAGGTCATGATCCCAGGGTCCTGGGATGGAGCCCCACATCAGGCTCTCTTCTCTTCAGGAAGCCTGCTTCTCCCCCTCCTGCTCCCCTTGCTTGTGTTCCCTCTCTCGCTGTGTCTCTCTCTGTCAAATAAATAAATAGAATCTTAAAAAAAAAGAAAGAAAGAAAAACTACCAGTGTTGGACAGCTAATATTTGGCTGTTTGTTACTCTCTCATGATCAATGAATACAACTGGTTTCAGATAATGTCCTTTATGGCAGTAGAAAAGTGTCAAAAATCATATTTTAAAAGTAATTGCCTTTCTAAATCAAGTAATTGCCTAAACTATTGATTACTTGTAGTTGAGTGTGTCCTACCTATAGTCCACTTCCTCAGCTATATTTGAGAAGGCTCCCACAACTGGCACCCTTGGAGAAATCTGACATGGATCATTCCAGAGATATCAAGGAATTATTGAAGAAGCTAATTTTTAAACTCTTCCTCTCTCCTGAATACACAATCCTTCATAATTTGGTCCCTCCCAACTTTGACAAACCCACTTCTGCCACTGCCCCCAATGCATATGTCATTGAAACACACAAAGTTATTCATTTAGGCATCATGCTTTTTTTTTTTTAAAGATTTTATTTATTTTTTTGAGAGAGAGAGAATGAGAGATAGAGAGCATGAGAGGGAAGGGGGTCAGAGGGAGAAGCAGACTCCCTGCTGAGCAGGGAGCCCGATGTGGGACTCGATCCCGGGACTCCAGGATCATGAACTGAGCCGAAGGCAGTCGCTTAACCAACTGAGCCACCCAGGCGCCCGGCATCATGCCTTTATTAAAGCAATTTCTGGAATGTTCTTTGCTACTGATCCTTTAAAATTCAATTCAGTTATTCCTTTTTCCCATGAAACTCACATTGAATCCTCTAACTAAAGCCAGTAATTTCTTATTCTAGAGTCTCACAGAAAGTTTTCCATGAATTTTGTCATGTAGTTAGGTGTACAGATTTTAGAATCAGTAAGTCCTGGGTTCTGATCTTGGTTCCAGCTTAGTTAACAGGGCAACTCACTCTGGAAACTTTGGTTTCTTCATCTATACATTGAAGATAATAATGGTGCTTCCCTCACAAGGCTGTTGTGAGGATTTAACCGGAGAGTATAGCCAAAGTGCGTAGCACCAGGCACAGGCATTAGCAAAGTTCTCAATAAACATTAGCTGTAATCATCATATTATAATACCAATCTCTCCTTGAGGACATAGCCTATTTCTTAATTAGCTGTCTGACAAATACAGAGTCTGGCAATACGTGCTTAAAAAGATCTTTGTTGGAATGTATATTGATTGACTGACTCTTTCATTTCATATCCTTAAATGGAAGCTGAAAAATTGAGCTAGCCACCCTTAGGGGGTTTAGAGATTCCCTTAAAATGTGGCCCTGAGACTCCAGAACAGGAGAGCAAATGTTTTCTCCAGCAATCCTCAAATCATACAAATATTCCTGCCTTTTACCACTACATATTCAATCACCGGTGAAATATCTAATTAATTTCCTGCTCTTTAATTTCTCAGTCACTGTATGTTCAAGGCTTCAGCATCTTCATGCAATGTCTCAAATGAGGTACAGGGCATGGGGAGTGCCCAAGGTGATCCTTTAGGGTGAGGCAAGGTAATACTACAGCTTGTATTTATTTCCATTTGCTTATTTGAATCATTATTACAAAATATGTCAGATACATTAAAAAAAAAAAGCCCAAACAAATAAACACAGTCTACCTCTTCCAGAGCCCATTCCTTTTCCTTTTTCCCATGGGTAACCACGAACCTGAATCTGATGGTCAT